CAAAGATAGTTTATTTAAATTGAATACGTTACAGTTTTTTGTACGGTTTTTCCGATAATCGTCGTTGCCTGAATTTACGCACCTGCGCCGATTAAGGAGAGATAGATATTAACCAAGCCTGATAGGTCAGAGTTCAATAGACAGGAAATAATCACACAGGCACGTATGTTTTAATTTAACCATCAAATGCTAACTTAGGGTCTTGTGGTCGATTTTTCCTGGTTCGCAGCAATTCTAAGTAGCGTGTGTGGTCAGACTTTTCGTTTTTGCCTGCAAAAATATTCATATGTTATTTGGAGATCCTGCTTTTTTGCTGTCTAACATTATTATTTTAAAATAAGGTCTATAGCATACTATAGTATATCTTTTAAGATAAATTAAAACGGAAATACGTCACTGGGTCTATCTGGTACAAGGATTCATAAGATAAAATGACTATAATCACGTTTTAGTGCTAATCCTAAACAAGCAGATGATAGCGGAAAAGAACGGCCTTCAGATGAATACTAAATGATAAAATCTTTATTATACATTTTATACACAGTCCTTTGACAATGCTGAGAACATCTCCGGTAGACTCACGCATTTTAGAGGCTAAAATCATTCCGAAGTATTACTGTGCAATGTTGCATTGGTACTGAGATAATATCTGAACAAGCATCAATAGAAGCGTTACTAACAGATCTTGGCCTTAACTGCCAACAACGAAGTCACCCATGCTACCGTACAAATCAAGGAGAAACATTTATGATTGGTAGAACATTATTTACCAAACGCTGAGACGAAAACGTTCCCAAGAGCTTCTAATGGGTTTAATTTCCTCGGAATAGAAGAGGTCGTCAACTACTTTTAAAGCATACCGGCATAGCACAGAAATCCTACATTTGCAGTTCACTGAAAGGGATAAATGTACAAAGCTTTTTTCTCGCACACGGTTGCAAGACCTTTAAAAAATGCTGTATGTAAAAGCAATTCGTACACAATGCGTTAGTGAAGTGTAGAAAACGTGTTTTTATCAGGGCCACCGAGTATGTCATCCTGCACGAAAACACATTTGCTTGGCTGGCGTAAACAGCTCAAACCATTGGCATCAAAAACTAGGAATATGCAAATTCACAACGTTAACTCTACTTACCTTTACTCAGTCGTTTACGCTTTTATACAACCAAGTCTATATGTATATATTTCCCTTCATGAAAATATGTCTATAACAAACACAGTTTAATAATAGCTAGAAATACAAACTCAAGAATGATCAGCTCATACGGTAACCGCAAAACGTCTATTGCTAGAGGGCGACCATCTGGTCATAGAATTATGCCTTATTCAGCACGTATGAACGCCGTCTCTAGCCTATGGTAGAATTCAGAGTTCAATCAGTATATCATAGAATATATGTTAATTACTAGTGCAAAAACGGAATGTCCATTGATTGGCTATATGGGATTGTCGCATAAAAATCACAAGTTGCTACTTACATTGTTTTTAAAAACATTAAATCACGAGTGTTGAACCTAACCGATATTTCTTCTTACATGGTATTATAGCTGGGCAACTGATGTTTAAATGCTTTAGCCCTTAGAAAAAATTAGCATTCATTCCCTGCTTATAGTTGTAACTCCCGAACATAGCTTCTGAAGAGACCACTTCGCATGATCGGCTCAGACTCAACCTTATACCCTCTTCGCCGCTATTCGGTCTTCAGTAATCGGCTAATTTAACTTAATATAACATCCTACCCACAGTGACTAACTCCTTTGTGAACTAACAAATCAGATCCACTATCATATCACCGTACCTAATATACTAAAAGCCGGCACTATAAACTCATTCACTGTGAACTAACCCGCAGTTACACCATGCCAATACTGTTATATAGACTACCGTTTCCTGCTGCTGAACTACTACTTGACGGCAACTGGCTTGGCAGGTGGGAATGCGGATATCTATTCCGTGTAAGCTGTCCATCAACATACTTTAACCCAGCCCTGCAATTCTCTTCACGGGCCTTTGCACATCGGTAGTATTCGATACGTTCCCATCTGCCTTTGCAATGAAAGTAAAAGCAGCCGACGCCTCGTCGATCTCCGACCTGGAAGACACCCCTCATATCGTACAGAAGACCAGGCGAGGGCCGACCTCGATGTCCGCCAGACCAATTTGGCAAGCGACCAAAGTCTCCTCCTACTGGAAGCACAAGATCATCTCTGGCTGCCGTCGCCATTGCCGCTGACGATGAAGAAGTTGTCGACGAAGATCCTGATGTTGTTCCCGACCCGTAAGAGGGAGACCACGTGGCCATGGATGACGCCCGTCGATCGCTCCGGTCGCGGTAAGTTGATGAGGCGTTCCCGCCTAACGAAAGAGCTGAAGACGAACCGCTGTCATTCATAAAGATCCACTCGTCATCGGGACTTACAGGTGTTATTTTGGCTCTTGAAGTTAGGATAACGTCGCTCTCGACACCAATGATGCCTTCGGAGCCGTCGAAGTATCCTGTAAGAGAACACAATAATGATCCATCGTAAGCGCTTATTGGGTAGGTTTTTTTTTTAGCAATGGAAGCGTTACGAACGCGATCGAATATCTCGAAACTGAACAAATCTTTAAAAACAAAAGACACAAAAGAATTTTAGACGGAACTAACAACAGTTGTATCAAGTTATTTATATAT